TACCTCAAAGCTGCATTGACTGCCCAAATGAACCCATCTTCATGGTCCTTTTCTTTACCCCTCATTTTGCTTGCTATTCGCTCCACTATTAAGGAGGATCTTCACTGTTCACCAGTCAAACTAGTATACAGTACAACTTTAAGTTTACCCGGTGAACTGGTTTCCCCGTCTGGCGCACAGCCCGAAACACCCGCCACATTCGTCACCCATCTGAAACAGCATGTGTCCGAACTTCGTGCGACACCAACCAGACGATCAACGAGAACAGAACACATCTCAACCGATCTCTCTATTACATCATTTGTATTTGTCAGGCATGATGCAACGAGGAGACACCTTCAAACGTGTTATGATGTCCCCTCCAAGGGTATCAAACGTAACTCCAAATACTTTGTCTTAGAGAGAAGCGGAAGACATGATACCGTCTCCATTTATCGTCTGAAACCTGCCTACATCGAAGCACCCATGACGACATTCAGCAATCCTCCTATCCCAACAACACCCACACCTACCCAAGCTATCCTTGCCGCCTACCTCACTCCTCCCACTAGTCGTTCCGGACGACGCGTCCGTTTCCCTCAGCACTTGGCTTATTACAAAAGTATGCATCTCCCTCGCTCTCCCTTTGGAGGTACCACGGACAAGCCTCCTCGAGCCCCCGACAGGATTGAACAGGCTGCTTGTACAACCCCCTGAGTGACCCTTTGCTTGCTTGGTACCCCCGACTTTCATTTTCCTTTTCGGTTGAATACACTTGTGTTGCTGCCACGCTCCGGTCTTCTTCCCTTTGTCACCCGACCTGTGCGAATGCGTGCTGTGAGTGCCGTGTGGATTCAGTAATACCAATCTATATATCTGCGCATTTCAGAAACAACGTTTGCGGTCACATCATCCTCTCGAATGTCGAATTCCGCTGACTTCCTGACGACCCACGCTACAATGGCTGCCGGTGGCTCCGCCCATCGTCCCTGTGACAAAGATGGGGAATTTTGTGGAAAAGCTTATTTCTTCGCTTGTTTTTCTACGTATTAGATTTGGGAATAATCTCGAAACGACTAAGACAACACTCAGGCCCATTACGTCTGCGCAGACTCAAATTGGAGCGAACGTCCGTAGCCTGGATATGGAAAATACTTTCGTGGTTGTGGCAAGTGTCCCGCTGAAGCCAAGGAGTTCATCACAGCTAGTGATTTTTTGTTTTTCATGATGGTCAGCATGTGTTACATCTCTGTTGTGATGTCCCCTCCAAGGTTATCAAACGTAACTCCAAATACTTTATCTTAGAGAGAAGCGGAAGACAGGATACCGTCTCCATTTATCGTCTGAAACCTTCCTACATCGAAGCACCCATGACGACATTCAGCAATCCTCCTATCCCAACAAACCCGCACCTACCCAACTATCCTTGCCGCCTACCTCACTCCTCCCACTAGTCGTTCCGGACGACGCCTCCGTTTCCCTCAGCACTTGGCTAATTACAAAAGTTGAAGTGAGCAAACGTGTGATTCGTTACTTTAATAGTTCGATCATTTTCCCCTTTCACGGTCAACGCTGTAGTGTGGAGTAGTGTGGAGGTTTGTACCTTTATTCTGCTTCCGTTATATCACTACGTATTTTATCAATTGTTTAATCGTTTTTCTGTTTGAATACCAAAAATACAAAAAACGCGCAGTTGTACAATTCCACGGAATAGATGCCTAGTCACTGCTCCGACTCTCTTCTGATTTCGCTCTCGCTTGTAGCGGTCATTTGGGGGTCGCATGTGCTAACTACGGTCCAACTTCGGAAAGTATTATGTGTGGGAACAATTCAGAAGAAGACCCCTGGACAACTATGATCAGATTATTGTTCATTAGCTGACCTGGGCTAACGAGGAACTATTTTAAAGAGAACAATTATTAGTGAATCTGTTACATTTGACCTCTTCATCATTGCATACCCAACTTAGCGTTATTATTTTACCACTTTGCCGCTTACTCCCGTTAAAGCAACATATTGGGTAGCCAGACCACCACAAAATGTTTTGAAAACTTTTCATTTCACGTCGTCGTAATTTTTTCTTTTGCCCGGTCATTGTGGAGGAACACTGTGATTCAGCGGATTCACTCGAGAATGCAATTCGCATACGGTTATCAGACTATAATCCCCGCAATCCCGGGGTATGGGTTCACCAAGTAGAGGCCGTTTTTGCTACTCGATGCATCATTGCCCAAGCCACCCGATTTTCTTATGTCGTCCAGCATCGTCCTTTTGATGTAGCAACAGAAGTAAATCTGTGGGAAGATATTCCAAAGGAAAATCCCCATGACGTACTTCGAGCGGCCGTCATTATTGGGACAGAGAATTCCAAAAGAAAAATGCTACGAGACTTATTCACAGATCACCGTCACAACTGCTTCGACACATGCGCAGTCTTCTCTGCGTCCGTAGGCTAACGGTGGAAATCATGGCTCAGCTATGGCTCGACAAACACCCACCCTCCATGTCCCACGTCATCAGCAGCAGTTAGCCCAAAT